TCTATCCCTGGAGATGTTCATCCGTTCTCCATTAACGAGGTGGGAGTCTACGACGATGCAGAATATTATGTACCACACAAAGCATCTATCCCAGTCTCGATTTTATCGGGTTGTCCACGGGCCCCTCCTCTTCCTAGTTCTCTCATTGTTAAAGATAGAGAGGTAAAGGAGCAGGAGGAAAGGCGTCGTGCCCCTGTGACTTCTAAGCATGAGCTTGAGCTCCCCATCTTGCCTGTAGGTAAGATAAAAATTGAAGCTGCATCAGATTCCGAGTCTGATCCAGATGAGGCACTACCGGTGAGTAGTTCGAGCCGAGATGACGTTGGAAGGGAAATACTTCTGCTACCCTCGAAGAGCATGGTACCTCGTTTGACTAGACTCTCTTTGTCAGATGAGGTGTTAACCATCGACCCCATGACACGAGGTCATCACAAGGAGTTGACGATTACAAATGCCTCTACTGTTGAATCGTTGAAGACCTTTTATGTACCTCCTAAGCTTGAGTCTAAAGAGAAAGGCATTTTGTTTTATAAAACTGTTCCTCATGTATTGAACACAAATGAAATGCTTTTAAACGATGAGAATGAAGAAGTAGAGGATATTCCTCTTTCTTATTACTGCTCTCCTCTCATTTATAAAATGCTTGATGTTGGTTTGTTGCCCGAGATGTGGTCTATTCGTCAATCCAAATTATGTAAATCCATGTGGCAATATAAACCCCCAGGAGAGAGGTCTGGATTAGGCTACGTTAAGAAACCTAATAAGGTCGGACTCCGTAGAGCCTCATGCAGAATGATTTCTGTACATGAAGATATCGAGACCATCGCCTCTGCTAGTGAGGAGATCAAAGTTAAAGTAGCCCCTCCCGAGCTCGAGGATGGCGTCTCTTCGACGATCGATGAGTTGGTTGAGGTCAACCTTAGTACGACCGACGATCCTCGTCTGACTTATATTAGCAAACTCTTAACAAATTCTATGATTTTTAGGATTATAGAAATACTAAAAGAGTTTTGCGATTGTCTTGCCTGGAGCTATGCCGAGATGACCGTACTAGCCCTAGATGTGGCCATACACCATTTGGCTATCAACCCGAGTGTTGTTCTTGTGAAACAAACACCCAGGAGAATGCGCCCTCAGATAGAGCAGAAGGTCATTGAAGAGACCAAAAAGCTCATTGATGTCGGATTTATTAAAGAGGTTCTTTACCCTACATGGCTTGCAAACATCGTACCCGTTCAAAAGAAGAACGGACAAATACGAGTTTGCATCGACTTTCGAGACTTGAATAAGGCTTGCCCGAAAGACGATTTTCCCCTGCCGATTCCAGAACTCATGATAGACATCGCTTCCTCTCATGCGATGTTTTCCTTCATGGATGGTTTGTCCGATTATAATCAAATTCGGATGGCCCCAGATGGGGAGAAACATACGGCATTTCGTACTCCGATCAGCATATTTTGCTATAAGGTCATGCCCTTCGGATTAAAGAACGCCGGGGCAACCTATTAGCGCGCTATGACCCACATCTTTGCTAACTTACTACACCATCAGGTCGAGTGTTACATCGATGATGTAGTAATTAAGAGTCTTTCTGAAGATGATCATCTTTCAGATTTGAGGACCGTCTTTGAATGCCTAAGGAAATATGACTTAAAGATGAACCCACTGAAATGCGCCTTTGGCGTATCTTCTGGGAAGTTTTTAGGCTTCATTGTTCGTCACAGAGGCATTGAAATTGATCCTATTAAAATTATTTTTCAAAACTAAATTTTTTAAAACGTCCTTCCGAAGCAGGCAACGGGATTTCAATTCCGATGACCGACAGCTTCTTACGGGCAAACCCCACACCAAAAATAGTGCCGACAACTCCCTACAAGGGAAGCTCGCTTATATTAGGAGTTTCGTTTCGAACCTTTCTGGTCGATGTCAGCCCTTTTCTGCGTTGACTAAGAAAAATGTTCGTTTTCACTGGGATGAGGCATGTCAGCATGCTTTCGATGATATCAAACGCTACTTGTTGAATCCTCCAGTGTTAGCAGCGCCGGTCCCAGGTAGACCCCTCATTCTCTATATTGCCACTCTTGATGAGTCGATAAGAGCTTTATTGGCTCAAATGAATGAGGAAGAGAAAGAGAACGCCCTATATTATCTTAGTCAACGTTTCATACCCGCTGAGATGAGATACCCACCAATTGAAAAACACTGCATTGGTATTCTCGGTCCAGAAGTTGAGGCATTACATGCTCTCACACCATGTTGATTTGATCTCGAGGGTAAACCCTTTGCAGTATCTCATGACGCGTCCTACCTTAGCTGGACGGTTGGCTAGATGGGCCATGATATTATCCCAGTTTGACATTTCGTATGTCCCTCAACGGGCTGTTAAGGGACAGGCGTTAGCTGAATTTTTAGCGGCTCACCCGATCCCGGCAGATTCACCTCTAAATGATGATTTTCCTGATGAGCATTTGATGACCATCGATGCCCCGGAGTGGGAGATGTATTTTGATGGGGCCTCTTCCTTGAAAGAAGGGCCACCAGGGTCTCTCCCAAAGGTGCAATCGGGGATCGGATTAATTTTCGTATCGCCCGAGGGTGGCATTCTCCGCTACTCTTATAGTTTAGCAGAACCATGTACGAATAATGCCGCTGAATATGAAGGCTTAATTCTAGGACTTGAGTTGGCTATCCAAATGGGCATTACAAGAATCAAGATTTATGGTGATTCACAGCTCATTATAAGCCAGATCTTAGGAACCTATAGGGTCCTGAAACCTGAACTTCTAGCCTATCATGAGAGAGCGATGACAATGTTGAAGCTCATTCGTAAGGTCACTCTTATTAGGATACCTCGATCTCTCACCGATGCTCTTGCTAAATTGGTTAAAGAGCTATCAAGTCCTGACGGAAATCCGGTGACAGTTGTGATCCGAGAAAGAAGAATCTTGTCGCCGACGATTTCTAGCCCTTCAGGTGACGTGCCCTCAGATAGCGGTGGCGTCATTTTGGCTACTTCTAATGGAGTATCTAATGATTGGCGTCAAGACATCATTGCATACTTGACAGGAATTCTCCCCGACGATCGCTCCCTCGCTTCTCAGATTCAGAAGAGGGCACTGTCGTTTACAATTATTAACGATACTCTGTATCGACGTTCCTTTGAGCAGATGTGGTTACGATGTGTAGGGGATGATGAGGCCCAGAAATTAATGGCTGAGGTCCATGAGGGCGTCTGTGGATCCCATCAGTCGGGTCCCAAAATGAAAATCAAGATCAAACGCCTTGGTTATTATTGGCCTATGATGACACTTGATTGCATTGAACATGCCAAACGGTGCCATCAATGTCAGGTGTTTAGCCCTGTGCTTCATCAACCCCCAAGTATATTACATCCGACAGTCGCATCATGGCCTTTTGAAGCCTCGGGTACCGATATTGTGGGGCCTATTGACCCACCGTCCTCTCGAGGACATCGATTTATTCTTGCAGCTACTGATTTTTTCTCTAAATGGGCGGAAGCTATCCCTCTAAGAGAAGTAAGGGCTGATAATATGCTGCATTTCCTTAAGAATAATATCGTTTATAGATTTGGTGTGCCACGACGTATCATCTCTGATAACGGGCTGGCTTTCAAAAATACTAAAATTAATAGATTTGCTCGGCGTCATCACATCGAATGGCGATATTCGACGATCTATTACCCGAGAGCGAATGGCTTGGCTGAAGCTTTTAATAAAACCTTAGTTGGCCTTATCAAGAAAATTCTCCATGCCAACAAGAAAGAGTGGCACGAGAAGCTCTCGGAGGCTTTATGGGCATATCGTACGACATACCGTACTCCCACTAGTTCTACTCCATACGCATTGACATTTGGGTCTGAGGCAGTCCTTCCTTTGGAAGTTGAATTGCCTTCATTGCGTATTGCTATTAGCAATAATGTCAATAGCGAAGATAATACCCGACTTAGGTTGGAAGAGCTTGAAGCTTGGAGGGGCTACGATTACAAGCCCAACAAAGCCTTGAACTATACCGGGCCCGTATGGCTAAAGCCCATGACAAGCTCGTTAGGCCCCGTACCTTCGTAGTTCGAGACTTGGTGCTGGTGTTACAACTTTTGATTATATCTCATCGTCGAAGCCACGGGAAATTTGAGCCCACATGGGAGGGACCGTTCGTGATCGAGAAGGTCTACGAGGGAGGAGCCTACTTGCTTATTGATTCCGATGGATCTCACCCCATGCCCCCTATCAACGGGCGATATTTAAGGAGATACTATGCCTAGATGCATCCTTTATTTGATGCACTTTACTCATAAATTGATTATTCAAAGCTTCATGTACTTTGTAATTCAGTTCTTAAGTAATAAAATTACATCTTTATATTTGTCTCCTGTCTGAACTGCTTGTAATGATTTCCTTATAGCTGTTGAGGGATCGTGCATAGTCTAGGATGACATGTGGCACCCAAGAGAGAGCCTTGTGCATCTCTTACAACCGATTTCTGAATTACTAAACACGCAAAGTGGAAGTCCTACGGGCGGCTTATACCTGGCGCAACCAGTGATCAGTGTAAGAGAAACTAAGTACTTCTCTTATCCTCTTTTTCGATCCCTCGATTCGAGTTGTTCCAAACAAGTGTGTCCCACCCATTATAAATGAGTATGGTAGACATACTTTTCCCCGCTCATCATAAATGAGAGTGGAAGACACCTTTTTTTAGAGGTTTGGAGCTTAGCTTTATAATTAAGCATTTTATTATTAGCATATCTTGCATAGATAACCTTTTGCAATATATCGATTGATGGAAGTAAATTTTGATTGATATTTGCTTTATGCAGGAAAGTCATGCCCTTTCTTAGCATTATGTTTTGATTACCTTTTCTACATAGGGTCCTAACCGAGTACCTTTCTACGGATATGCTCGTCACGCTCACTTCATATGAGTGTGGTGTATTCCCTCTTATGGAATATGCTTTAGGTTTTGCCTTACAGCTAAACACCATTTGGCGAATACACTCTATTTTACCCAACCCCTCTTAGGTGTCTCGACTGACTGAGGTCAGGTTTGATTGATACCTTTTTGTACGGGAAGCTATGTTCCATTTCTCGTCGCCTCTACTCGGTTGAGTACCCCGTGTGGGTCCGAACTAGAGTTTCCCACTCACTTCAAATGAGTGTGGTGTTTTTCCCCTTTAAGAGATGTTTTCTGGGTTAATCTGAGAGCAACATTCCCTTGTGTTTGGAGAGTTACGTTTTGACCAACCATTCTTAGATAATGCAACAATTCCCCAGCGAAATTCATTCTACCAAATCTATGGTAGCAGTATCATACATAGGGTTGGTATGTCCTATTCATCCACCCTCTTTGATAATCCTGAACCTATTTTCGTGGTTATGCCTCTACGGCCTCTGAACCACTAGCCTGAGTTATGCCTTCGTGGCCTCTGAACTCATTCATAGGTAATGCCTCTGCGGCCTCTGAACCTATTTTCTAGGTTATGTCTTTGTGACCTCTGAACATATTTTCGTGGTTATGCCTCTACGGCCTCTGAACCACTAGCCTGAGTTATGCCTTCGTGGCCTCTGAACTCATTCATAGGTAATGCCTCTGCGGCCTCTGAACCTATTTTCTAGGTTATGTCTTTGTGACCTCTGAACATATTTTCGTGGTTATGCCTCTACGGCCTCTGAACCACTAGCTTGAGTTGTGGCCTTGTGGCCTTTGAACTCATTCATAGGTTATGCCTTTGCGGCCTCTGAACCTATTTTCTAGGTTATGTCTTTGTAACCTCTGAACATATTTTCGTGATTATGCCTCTACTGCCTCTGAACCACTAGCTTGAGTTATGCCTCTGTGGCCTCTGAACTCATTCATAGGTTATGCCTCTCCGGCCTCTGAACCTATTTTCTAGCTTATATCTTTGTGACCTCTGAACATATTTTCGTGGTTATGCCTCTACGGCCTTTGAACCACTAGCTTGAGTTATGCCTCTACGGCCTCTGAACCACCCTCCTAGGTTATGCCTCTGCTGCCTCTGAACCTATTTTTGTGGTTATGCATTTACGACATCTGAACCTATTTATGTGGTTGGTCAGGTTTCTACTGGCTAGTCACACCCTTGACCATACCTTATCCGGTTTACCTGGCTTGGTTGAGGTTTTCTTTTAGCATTCTCTTAGCATGTCACATCGACTACCATGAGAGGTTTTCTTTGAAGGATGCTGCCAACAAGTGCACTGTGCCTCAGTGGCGCAGCACGCTTGTTGGGGGTACTTTGTTGGCATCAATTTTTAGATATCGTAGGTGTAGGGTGTCCACCTGTGATCAACAAAAATTAGTTATCGCGCCATGCACAAATTTGGCTCAAATTGACCTAAGCACCTGCAAGCTTATTCATATGGCCCCAAACGACGAAATGGACAACACGAGTGAGTTTGGAACGTCGATTGCACTTGGAAAAGGCACTCGTTGCACCATGATTTCGGGTACGGGCTTAAAATATACATATTATCATTTTTTTTACACGATAGTCGAAAAAGTGGTCCGAACGACTACGGAAGACCAAACGGACCACACCGGTGCGTCCAGAACATCAATTTTACCTAAGGGACACTTTCATTTTATCGCGATGACGTGTTCGGCGAAAATGCATGGAGAGAGGTTGATTGAATAATAATTATTATTATTATATTATAATAATATTATATATATAGATAGATAGATAGCCGTAACTCTCTAAAAGAGGAAAATGAAATTTTCATTTCCCTCTCTTCTCCCTCTCTCCTCTATTCTCTCTCTTCAAATATAAAGAGGGAAATGAAATTTTCATTTCCCTCTCTTCTCTCCTCCCTCTCTCCTCTATTCTCTCTCAAAAAAAAAAAAAAAAAAAGAGAAATGGTAAAAAAATGGCAGAGAAGCAACGCCTCTCTTCCCCCAAGATCGCGTCTCTTTCCCCCTCCAAAAGCTCCCATTCGCGACACTCTCAGCCGAATTCGCGGATCTTGCACCTCCTCCGATCCTTCACCTCTTTCGCAATCGTCCCGCTCCTCTCCTTCGTCACCGGCGCCGGTCACCGATTCTCCTCCTTCTCCTTCTTCTTCTTCTTCTTCCATTTCTTCTTCTCTTATTTCCTCTTCTTATTCTTCTTCTATTTCTTCCTATCATATTTCATCTTCTTCTTCTTTTTTCATTTCTTCTTCTCCTATTTCCTCTTCTTCTTCTTCTTCTATTTCTTCCTATCCTATTTCCTCTTCTTCTTCTTATCCTATTTCTTCTTATTTTATTTCTTCTTCTTCTTCTTCTTCTATTTCTTCTTTTTCTCGCCCAAAACCCGCAAACCTCGACAGTCTTCCTTCATCTCGTCGGCTTCTGCCTTGCCGGTGTCGTATTTTTTGCCAGACTAAAACATGGGAGAAAGACTTTAATTTTTTTTTGGGACTTTCTCCAGCGTTTCCTCCACTTTCAGCATTCGAAGCCCATAAATTAGCATTCATCATCTCGCCGGACAACGAACTTCAACATCTTTCGAGAGGGTGCGAAAGACACCCATTTTACCTGCAACTTCCCTAGACTAGGTTTAGCTAAGACCAGTACGTGGAGGACCCAAATAGGGATTCCCAAATAGGGATTTCATTGGTCCGGATTTCATTGGTCCATAGCTCATATTGGGTGGTTGGTACCCCAATTCTATCAAAATGTCCAATTTGACTTTTTTCCCTCAAATCCACCCAAAAATTCCAAGTTTAACAAAATACCCCCCAAAAATTGCCAAAATTACAAAAATATCCTTGGCACCCTAAACTTTCCCAAAACCTCAAAAATCACTCCAAATATTTCTAAAACTAATTTGGACCCTTCAATTTGACCATTTTTGACCTAAACCATTCATATTCTCTTTAAAGGCCCAATTTCCCAAAATCCACCTCAAATGTTCATCAATTTGAGCCCAAATCCCCTCAATTTCAATTATAAACTCAAATTCACCTTTCATATGACCAATATAAACCAAATTAAAGCCTAATTGACCCATACTTTGAGTTCATATTTGATTTAAGTCAAACCCCCAATTTTAGTCATATGGCTTAATCTTACTTAATCAAACCCCATAATCTTACAAAAATTTTCGACGTCCACATTTACGACCTCTGAACCCATTTATATGGTTGGTCAGGTTTCTACTGGCTAGTCACACCCTTGACCATACCTCATCCAGTTTACCTGGCATGGTTGAGGTTTTCTTTTAGCATTCTGTTAGCATGTCACCTCGACTACCATGAGAGGTTTTCTTTGGAGGATGCTGCCAACAAGTGCACTGTGCCTCAGTGGCGCAGCACGCTTGTTGGGGGTCCTTTGTTGGCATCAATTTTTGGATATCGTAGGTGTAGGGTGTCCACCTGTGATCAACAAAAATTAGTTATCGCGCCATGCACAAATTTGGCTCAAATTGACCTAAGCACCTGCAAGCTTATTCATATGGCCCCAAACGACGAAATGGACAACACGAGTGAGTTTGGAACGTCGATT